AAAAAAAGAAAAGAAAAAGAATTAATACAATGCCTAAATATCATTTACACAACATCATCTGAAGAAGTCAACTTCGATTGTCGAAACGTCATATATATATATACAAAAATTTTCGAATTATTCTTTATCAATTTAATATAAATTATTTTATTTAATTATTTAATTTTAAATTTGATTTATCTAATTTTATAAGATTATTTTTATTCTAATTAAATATATTTTAGTTCAAAATTTTTTAAAAAGAAAAGGAAGAGTTCTTATAACTATATTAAATATCAATATCCTTCCTCATGAATCGTCAATAATTGGACCTCATCTATAGTTATTTATCAAAATGATGCATTTGGAATTTGAAGTGCCAAAGCAATAATTGAAGAATTTATTAAAAATAATTTAACAGTTCAAGAATCGGTCATATTTTATATATCAACACAGTATTCATGATAATTTAAAAAAAACAAATTAATAAATAGTAGAAGTCGAATTGATATTCTATGGATTCAATCAACTTATATACCTTTAATACTAGAAGATGCTCTTCAACTTGATTTAGTCGGTCCTGAATTTATATGGATATAAAGTTCAACTATTTGATTAGATTCATTTAAGAAAAAATCTTATGAAAAATTAATTGGATTATTAACTATTGAATCAGTTGCAGGAACTTTTGTTAATACATCAATAAATAGAACATTATTAAATGCGATATATAATATTTGGCAGAAATACGATTTTGAATCATATCTTGAATCATCAAAAGTAAATTCTTTTGTATTATTTGCATTTGATGCAACATGATCATTAACTAAATCATTAGAAAAATTTTGTTCAACAATTAAAAATAATTCTTCATCTTCATGTTTGTCATTTATTAAATCTTCATTTTGTTTTGATCGTCGTTTTGTTCAATTTGATTTATTATTAAATTCAATAAATCAAATTGAATTTCTTGGTGTATCTGGTTCAATAAAATTTCATTTAAATCATCTTACAGATCGAATCAATGGTTCATATTATTATGTATAAAATCTACAACCATCTTCAAATAATTTAAATTTTGTTCCAATATTAGCATATAATGATACTGTTGATTGAAACTTTTTTAAATAAACAACTACTATTGTTTGGCAAGGTAATTCATTAATAATTCCAACTGATCGAACAATACTCAAACGTAAACGTTTACGAATCGGTATAATTAAATCGATTTCATTTGTAATAATCACAAATTATACTAATAATTTTGGACAAAATAAAACAAAATACACTGGTTATATATGTGATCTTATTGAACTTTTAAAAAATAAAATGGGATTTATTCCTGATATTCAACTACTACAATCAAATAAACCTTATTCAGAATCAATTGAAGCTGTAGCTAAAGGTCATTATGATATTATTATTGGTGACGTAACAATTACTGCTGCACGAAAAGAATTAGTCGATTTTTCTCCTATAATAATTGATACTTCTATAGGAATTATAGCTCGAAGAACATCTAATGTTAATATTGATCTTTTATCATTTTAAAAATCATTTTCAAGTCAATTCTGGTTATTAGTCAGTGGTATTTGTATCTATGTTGCTTTTTCACTTTGTCTTATTGAAAGACAAGATAATGAAATATTACAAAATCGATCGATATTACTGCAATTTCTGATGAATGTCTGGTATTCTTTTGGTAACATTGCTGGATATGGTGTTGACTTTAACGTTAATACAGCTGCTGGACGTTTATTAACTGCTGGTTTATATGTGTTAAGTTTAATATTATTAGCAACATATACTGCAAATTTAACATCTGATCTAACAATATCGCAATCAAAAGATATTATCTAGGGAATTGATGATATCAAAAATGGAAAAATTCTATCTGATCGTATTGGTGTTCTCGTTGATACAGCAGTTGAAGAATATTATTTAAAAGAAATATCTTTTGGTCGTTGAGATTATCATCCTTTAAAATCTCGAAAAGAATTGTATTATAGTTTACTAGAAGAAATTATTGATTTTTCCTTCATGGATTCTGCCATAGCGAAATATATTACAGATAATATTTATTGTAATTTAACGTTAATTGGAGAAGATTTTCATAAAGGAGGTTATGGAATTGTTATTCAAAAACAATGGATCTATGCGAATGATTTAGATGTTAATATTTTATCATTAAGAGAATCAGGTCAACTTGAGCAGTTAAGACGAAAATGGTTTCGAAAAAAGATTTGTCTTATTTCATCTGAAATATCGATTGTCGTAAAAATGAAATCAATCGGTGGATTATTTATAATTTTTGGACTTATTGCTATTCTATGGTTCTTATTATTTCTATGGTCGAAACGATCTAGTTTTTTAAAACTATTTCTTTAATTTATTATCTTGAAAGAAGTCTTTCGGCAAAAAAATGACTCGACAAGAACAAACTCTTCAACGTTCATAAAACCATTAATTATCATTATCTGATTTGCCACATTTTAATGTTTACGAAATACAGAATACTATTTCATCTTGTTTTACATTTTTTATGAAAAATGAACGTATGAAAAAGTTCAGGTACAGAAAGATATTACTGTAGAAGATGAAGAGAAGGCCTACACTCACATCTAGGGGCATCACTTGAGGGGTGTGGGTATAAGTGTGGATATTTTCTTTACTGGCATCCATATACCCGCACCCTAGTAATATTGGTCGCCGGTGTGGGTGTGGGTTCGGGAGGTTGTGGTTGTGAGTTAAATTTCTACCCACATCCACCCACCCACACCCACACCCACACAAGTTTAGAGAAAGAAATAAAAGTTCGTTACAGTTATAAATGGAGATATTTTTCTTGATGATAATACGTAGGACATTCTTCGATTGGTACTTTGTTAGAATGAGTGCAAGTTCTTGCTGTTAAAAAAACAAACAAAAAAAAGTTTATTAATTACAAATGAGTATAGACATGCTCATGATTGACGTTTGCAAAGTTTCTTTTGATTTCATAAAGAAGAAAATAATAACCGTTAAAAATGGCTTAAATCAAAGCGAACAATAATGAGAAATATAAATTAATGAAGAAAACAACGAAATTTGGGCAGTCTTTAGTAATAAATAGCATATTTCAACAACTTTTCAAAGTAAACTTCATGTTTAAGAAAATGTTATGTGAACACTCTTGACTTAGGAGAGCAAAGTTCGTAAGAAAAATGCTAATATAATCAAAAATAATGATTCAATTAGAATAAATAGGATTTTTAATAAAAAAAATGATTTATATACAAAGTCAAATAAAATTTATTTTGTTAAATTTACAATTTGAAGTCCATATATATATATATAATCAAATATTTACAAATCTATTATCATCAAAGGATTTTTGTTTTCTTCTTCTTTACTTTTTCATATATGTTAAATTTCACGCTGATTATAATCCTTAATCAGAAACAAAAATGATATATATTTTTTTAAATATCTATTTAAATACTTATGAAAGTTTTTAGAACAAAATTGAAATCGATTTCCTTCACCTTTATGAGTTTCATCGAATTAAATCTATACGATTGAGTTAATTTTTTTTATTGAAATAGATAAGGGTGTGACTGTGGATAATACTGCACTAGAGACGGATATCATGACCACCTTCACCTACATCTACATCCACATCCAAAGCGGTATGCAGTTTTCAGTTGTCTATTTAGTTTCAATACCTGATCATTATATGCAAGTGCTTGATGATGTCAAGCATGACTGCTTGCAAAGTAAACGTTCGCATTCGATGAGAACAATTTGTTCAATATTTTGATAACACTGAATTTACAAATGCTTAAAATTAGGATTTTCAAATGGTGGTTAGTTGACAATTTTCTTGGGCTCTTCGATCAATTGCTTTAGCATACTCATTTGCATCTATTGAAAAGAAAGTCGAAAGCGAGTTTTTTTGACTACATTTTCTCGACGGAATTTACTAAATTCAAAACGAATTCCAAAAAACTGTGTAAATGGTTTGAGGATAGTGATTTCGATGCTCGTTTCTTTTGAGTGTGGGTGTGAGTATATATATCACTTTTTTCCTTGTATCTCCACACCCACACCCTGTTTTTGTTTGTATTATTGTACATCTCTTATTTACTAATATACTAGATATAACGAGAAAGCCTAAAACAGGCTGCATCTTTTATTATATTTGCATTAAGCATCAAATGTAATTAAAAGTATAAAGAACTGTATTTAAAAAACGCAAGATTTTCTTTTATTACTGGGCATCCTAGGGTGTGGGTGTGGGTGTGGGCTATGGATGCGGATCGTCTGCTCAACCACACCCACATTCTATCCTTTTTGAATTTAAAATCTCTTTTGACGAAACATGACATTCATTATTCCTAAATATTTCGTTCGTTTTCACACGTGTAGATATTTAACAATTTTCTGACCTGCTTGCATTTTTAACGAATCTTACTGTGCTAACGATCGTAACGTGTTGCACTCGTTTTCACATTCCTATTTGAATTATATTAAAGTGACACAAATATAGAATTCCTACATCGTGTTTTTAATTATAAGTGTATGTCTTTTATCTGTTCACCTTGAAAACAAAGAAATCCTTTGTTTTACAGTTGTGATTATCATTCAATTAAAAATATTTCTCCTATGTAGATTTTGCGTAGCTTGACTTCGAATATTGACAGGTTATTCTCTGTTGAGTTAAGTTATCTAACTTTGTTTTGCTCATATAAATCCTCATCTAATATGGCAAACGTGACTCGTAAACTGTATTTTAATAGAAAGATGAAATGCCATAAATAAAAGTAGTGTAACAAAAAAAAAAGATGAATTAAAATGCCAGTACAAGAGTATTGATTAATTCGTTTGACCCTGCAAGGATCGTTGTTTTCATAACTTATATCGTGCGACATGTTTACAATTTTTGTTTTCGATAGTTTCATTTTTGATAATTTATTTTCAACGATAAGGTAAATCACGCAGGTTTTTATCGTCTCAATGAAAAACTTAAACTGTTGCATACGTTACTATTTAGAATTTTCTTGTACATTCGTATAGCTGACATATCTAATGAACTTATTATACTGATCAATATCTTCCTAAATTTCATTCGTCTCAAAAAAATATATTAAACTAAACAGTTCAATGTTGCATAAACTTTCGTACTTTATAAATAAGAAGTTCATTAGATATGCTAGCTATAGCAATGTACAAAAAATTCTAAGTAGTAACGTATGCAACAGTTTAAGTATTTAATGTAATTTCATGTGTTTTTCACAAATTTTCATGTGAAGAATCGTTAAAAACTTCATGACTTAACGAAAAAAGACGCGTTAAACGTTCATTTCCTTAACGAAGAAAAAAAAGCGTTTTTAGAATCAGAAAATTAACATTAAATTTTGTTAAATCGTTAAATTTTTAATGAATTTCCATGTCATCAAGCTTCGTTAAATGATCAAAAATGTTTATATGGGCGGAACGTATAACATTTTTTTAATATTTCACAGTCTTTTAAAATTTAATGAGGGAATATATACTCGGATAGTATTTGGTAAAAAAAAAGAAACAGAATAGCGATATTTATTTAAACAGATAGCAAAACATATTAGAACATTACAACATAATTTTCAATTTCGAAACTTTTTATTCACCAATTGTCGACAGACATTTCTGTTACAGATAGACGTAAAGTTATTTTGACTAAGCAATTAGAGTTTAAATAAAGTTTATTTCTTTTTTTTTCTTCAAAGATATATTTTGCTCATGAAATGTATAATCACAATGAACATTCATGGAGAAAAAACCTAAAGTAATAGATGAAAATCAAATGCTATTACAAAACACGACACTGTATGTCACCAAAAAACTAATATTTACAAAAAAATGGAATATTTTTATAAAGAGTCTAGAGATGATGTTGTTTGTTGTGAGCTTGTTATTGTTGTTGAATCAATTAAAATTTTTGCCAACGAATCCTCCATATTTTTATTTTCAAGCGCTATTTGTTGGACAGCTTCTTGTTCATTAATTGAAGTATTTATTAATTTTCCTAAAATATTATTTATTTTACCATTTGATATTGCAACTAATTCAAAGGCTCGTTGTATCTTGAACAAAAACAAATTCAACAAATTAAATATGTATTTATCGTATTAAAGTTAGACGGTCAAATAAACTTATAACTTTGACAAATAAGATTGTCGAAGTTGTCTTGATCAACTCGAACATCAACTGAATATTATTTAAATCAACATATTAAAAATAGAACAAAAAGTAAAGTTCATTAGTTTCCATTTTAAATATATGTTTCATCATCTTTTTTAAGCTTCTTAGTAAAAGAAAGAGCTAAAACATATATTAAATTTTTTTAATTCTATTTTGAATATGTTCATTTAAGAAATATTTGCTTACTATTTGACTAAATAAAAACGTTTTCCACAACACATAGGTAGTTTTTAATTAGGACGCAGGTCAGGGACTTTCGACATTTATTAAATTAGTTTTAAAGAAAAATATTGAGTATTAAAAAGTATACGAAAATTGAAAACTGTTCTTTAATTCTTCTCTTGAGCAAATTTTTCCAACTTTATTTGAATTGATGAAAGAAAATCCTATCGATTGTTCAAGAATACATCTCCCACTTTTTATGCTTTGTCGCACAGTTTTTTTTCAATTTAGATCAAAAAGACATTATAATAAATCAAAATAAATTCATTTTTCGAAGTGTTCACACAAACGGAGCAGTTCTTAACAAAAAGAAAAAATAAAAAAAAATAAAATTAGACTGACCTTATCCTCTTCTTGAATAGCCATCTGTGTAGAAAATCTTTTTTTATAAGTTAGTGTTTTTTTATTTAGCTTATTTTTGTTTGAAACAGCAATAGGATTCAGTCTTTCGTTTCATCCATATAGAAGATACTCAAGCGAGTGACCGATCACAAGCAAAGGAAAGCACAACGCGAGAATATTTTTCAAGAAAAAAGGGAGAAAACAATATTCATCTTATTTTCGACCAATGAATTGTTCGTACAAAAAATAGTCGTTCTATATTTTCTTGAGGTCATCACTTATATGAACAAGAAGGCAAAGAAAAAGAGGAACATTTTATACATGCTGAACTCACGAAGGTTTTTTTTAGATAACTATTAGATTTATGTTATATCACAAGATCCATGAGAAAATTAACCTCATTTAATATCATCCTTTGTGAACACTGAGTACATTGTAAATTAAAGTGGAAACTATCTCAGATATTTTTATGTACTATTCGTCAAATAATATGAAAAAATATCCAATAATTCACTGCTTTTTTTTAAATAAATTATTTGAAGTTTTACAATTTTTTTCTTTCTAATACATTGTCATATATTATAATTCAAGATTTGAATGCA